TGGGGTCTGGATCAGACAGACATGCATCGCAGCAGGGCTCTGTTTGGCCAGGCAACACTCTCCAGATCCTTCTCTCTCTGAAAACACATCCTGATTCCCCCTCTTACTGCCGAGCTGCAGGAGGGGCCCAGAACTCCCTCATCAAAGGGGGCTGTGCAAATGACAGGCCTCATCCCCAAGGGGTGTTGGGAAGAGTTCAGGTTCTCCACCCGGTGCCCCAAATTACCTGTATGAGGCAAACAGAGTTGAAATCTCTCTACGGCACTTAGCTCTGATCCCAATTATTGTAGAGTTCGAGCAGCTTTCAATCAGTAGCATATTTACCAGCACAACACCCCTTGCGGTAGGACAGAGCTATTAACACCACTGGGCAGAACTTCCCCTGCTGGTGACACCCATATTCCGAAAGAGGACACAGCCCCCTGCCCTACACTACATGGCCCCAGCGCCAGGCCCTTAAAGAAACGGTAGCCTGGGGTTTCCCAAAGCTTTAACTATTACCAAGGACCATCTTCCTTTCTCCCAGTAGCTGCCTCTACTAGGCCTCTGTCAGCTCCAAAAGTCACAGGAAGCTTAAAGGGCCACACCCTGGAGCAAAGGTTGACTGACCCCTCTAATCTTTCCTACCCTTAAAGGGGAGAGTCTCCAACAAACCATCTCCAATAACCACTGAATTAGGGTGATCACCCATCCCGAACTGGGTGGCAGAGTCCCAAGATGCAGGTTTGACTCCTGGTCCCAGGCTAAATGACTCCAGGATAACATCTGTCCCAAATTCCTTGTAGTGATGATCCACAACTCCCTTTTCCAGGTAGGGAGGCTGAGGTGGTCCTTAGCGCCCCCTCGCTATGAAGCCCTGCCCCCTGCTCCTCTTTCCCCAGAGGCCCTGCTCCGAGCTCAAGGCAGGTGGACGGTCCACGGTTCTCCACAGCGGGCCGGGATCCCTGGGATGTTCTTATCAAGGCCTGGCTCTGTGTTCTGGCCTGTCCAGTGAGTGGGGTTTGGGGGGAAGCAGAGGGGCAGGGGTGAGTCATAGAGGTGGTGGGGCTCCTGCCTGTGTCCTGCTTTTGCCTTTTGAAAAGGTGATCACCCTACAGTGAATGGGCTGTTCTGTGCTAGGAGCTAGTTGTGCCTCTGTTGGGGAGCAGAGGACCGTTTCCACCCCTTTGCAAGCAGCTGGTGTTACCCGGGGTCCTTTCAACCCAAAGCTCTTGGTAACTTTACTCTGTGCGAGGAGGTGTCAGGAAATAAATCAGGGGAGACACGGCCGTCCGACCGATAGATGGCTGACACAAACAGGACAACACAAGAATGCTTTCACTTAAAGCTAAACTTTACTAGTCTCAAGCACTTACACACATCCACGACAAGTTAGTAAAACACCCCCAACCCTTGATAATTACCAAAGCTGAATGTGGCTTTCGAGTGGCACAGTGGGAGCCCATCTGCCACTGAGGAACACAAGATGCATCCAGAGGGAGAGTAGAGTCCTGAAGAGTCCCCCAGAGGAGTCCCACTATCTCAAGCTTTTTCCCCTTATTTATACACTAGTAATAGAATGACATGTCCCTTAAAGAAACCTTGTTAAGTAAGCAGTTTCAAGCAAGAGGTTTCTTCTGATTATTGATTAACCAGGTGTGGGTTTTTCCAGAGTCTGCAGCTCTGAGACCCCAATAGACATTCCTGCTCTTTTAAAATGCCTGCATCAGCAACTTCAACACAATTCTTATCAGGAAGGATGCGGGGGCAAGCTGCCCTTTCCGTGGCACCCCAAACCCCCTCCCCTCCTGCCTTGGTCAAGCTGAGTTTGCTGACTGGCCAATTTACAGCTTGCTGACTAGGCTTTTTAACAATAAGCCATAGTGGTTTCAGGCACTTTACTGGTTTGCCAAAGTCTCCCCGTACACTGGGGCTCACAAACAGAGGAGACTGGGGGGGAACCTGGGCCTGTGTCTCTTGCCAGGACTCCTATGTGTCAGACCTTCATTCACACTCGCAGCTCTGCCCTGCCTTGGGGGTATTACGGTCAGCTGGGAGTGCACTACATAGGTGTGCGGTGTGCAGAGCCATCAATGGGAGCAGAGAGGGTGCACTGCCTACATGGCTTTTCCTGGAGCTCCTGTGTTAATCAGGTCTCTGACATGACTCAGTCACAAGCAACTGGCTGAGGGAGTAGGGAAAGGGTGGGTGTCCATGCCCCTTGCATAGGCACCAACTTTCCCTCTGGCCTGTGGGTGCTTAACCCCCATCCGCCCCTGGCCCGTCCTCTTCCCCATGCCTGCACCACCCTCGTCCCGCCCCCATTCCACCCCTTCCCCAAAGTCCCCGCCCCCTTCCCGCCTCTTCTCCACCTCCTCCCCCTCCCTCCCAGAATGTCCTAAGTGCCGCCAAACAGCTGTTAGGCGACGGGGAGGTGGAAGGGGCTGTAAGGGAGGGGGAGGAGCAGGGACACGGCGTACTGGGGGGGAGAAGGAAGCGAGGAGGGGGGAGCTTGGCTGGTGGGTGCGGAGCACCCACTAATTTTTCCCTGTGGGTGCTCCACCCCCGGAGCACTCACGGAGCCAGCGCCTGTGGCCCCTTGAATATGCCCTGTCCACACCATGGATCACGCAGCACCCAGAGCACTCAGGAAGGATCAGGACTCTGCAGCTTTTCTCATGGCCCATGGATGTTTAATCAGAGATGGGACAGTGACAGGCCAGGTGTAATGGAAAACAACATCCACGTCCCTTCTCTTTATTGACTGTATCGAGAGGAATTCTGAGGTCGGAGTAGCCACCGATACGGCTCTTTATGGGCCAACAAACCACCGGTGCCCTGGCTCTCCACTAACACAGTCACTTTGTAAATGCTGCTGCCTGCCTCGGTGTCCTTCCCCCAGTGCACTGTCCTCCCTGGACCAGCCCCTCTCCCATAGCTCAAGGCCTTAGACCCTGTCTGAAACTCGTTCAACAGAATGGAGTTTAGTAGCTCATATATTCTTGGATCTAAGAGTCCAGGATGGAATTGGTGGCCCGTGTTTATCATCTCCCATGGCAGCAGTGCTGGAGCTAGTTCACGAACTGACCCTTCACTTGACAAATGACCTAATTATCCTCGCAAGAAGGTGTTTGCTTGTCATGCTGTACATGATTGTATTTATCAGGGGTGGGACCGGCAGGTAGACATAACTCAGGACCATTTGAAGCAAGTGAGAAGAGCTATTTCCAAATCTATGTATCACAGCCAGGCCAATATCTGGCGTATAGAAGACCAGGATGGCGCAGAGGTGGGAGACACAGGTGTTCAAGGCCCTGAGGCACTCCGTGTGGGATGCGATGCTCAGCACTGTTTTGAGAATCATCACATAAGAGAGGAAGATGAGCAGCGAGTCCAATCCCATTGTTAGAGTTTAGTAAACAAGCCATAGATGCTGTTCACTCTGATATCTGAACAATCCATCTTCATGACCTCCTGGTGCAGGCAGTAGGAATGGGAGAGGACATTGTCTTGACAGTAGTGGAACCATTTCAGTAGTGAGAATATTACAGCCAATCCTCTTATCACAAACATGAGTCCCATCTTGGTTATTTTCTGCAGGGTTAAGATGGAAGCATATCTCATCGGGGTAAAAGATTGCGATGAAGCAGTCAAAGGCCATCAACAAGAGCACGGAGGATTCAATGAATTGAAGCAAGTGGATGAAGAACAGCTGGGGTAAACAGGCATTGAAGCTGATCTCCCTAGAGTTAAACAAGAATATGCCCAGTATTGTCGGTATAGTGGATATTGAAAAGCCAAAGTCTGTGATGGCCAACATGGAAAGGAAAATGTACCTGGGCTAATGGAGGCTTGGAACTGTTTCAATAATGAACAGAATGACTGAATTTACTAATATAGAAACAGCATACATTAAGCAGAAAGGGATAGAGACCCAGAGATGGATGTCTTCCTGCCCAGGTATCCCAGTGAGAAGGAACACTGCAGATTTGAAGTTGGTGTCATTTACAGCTGGCATAATGGATTAGACAGGTCCGAGGAATTTCAACTTTCCTTCCTGAAAGGAAAAAGTACAGGAGGCTTGATGATATTTAACTAGACAGGCAATGTGGCATCAGCACTGCCTAGCCTGCTTGATGGCCCATTAAGGACCATCAGCTATACAACTGACCCATTGAGAAACGGCAGATACACCTTGTGACTCAGCAAGGCATGCAGAGACATGCCTATGGACAGAACTCTAAGGCTTCCAAGCCATGTGCTGGGCAGGTTGTGTTTGAAACAAAGGAAGCACAGGCCACATGGCAAGAGACTATAAAAGGCAGCTGCATCTTCTCCATTTTGTCTTCAATCCTGCTTCTTACCTCTGGAGGAACTTTGCTACAAACAGAAGCTCTGAACAATGGACTGAATGACCCATCCAAGCTGTGGATGTACTCCAGAGACTTAACTTAAGCCAGCAGTTTATTCTATCACTGCTACAAGCCTGAAACAAGAACTTTGCCATTACTGTATATAATTAATTTTATTTAACCAATTTTAATTTTATAGATATTTCTTTCTTTTAATGAATAAACCTTTAGATTTTAGAGTCTAAAGGATTGGCAACAGAGTGATTCATGGGTAAGGTCTGACTTGTGTATTGACCTGAGTCTTAGGCCTGGTCCTTTGGGATCAGGAGAACCTTTTTTCTTTTACTGGGGTATTGTTTTCACAACCAATCATCCCCATAAGGAGTGGTACTGGTGGTGATACTGGGAAACTGGAGTGTCTGAGGGAATTGCTTGTATGACTTCTGGTTAGCCAGTGGGGTGAAACCGAAGTCCTCTCTGTTTGGCTGGTTTGGTGTGCCTTACTAGTAAAGGACCCGTAGCCTTGGGTTGTGACTGCCCGGCTCCAAGCACTTTATCCTGAATTGATACTCTCAGTTGTGTCCTGCCAAAGGCCGCATTGTTAAAAGGTAGCCCATGTTTTTGGTCTCCCATGTCACCAGCGTTGGAATCAGGTGATGAACTGACCCTTCACTTGACGAACACCCTGATTATCCTTGCACGAAGGTGTTTGCTTTTCACACTGTACACAATTGGGTTAATCAGGGGTGGGACCAGCAGGTAGATGTAACCCAGGAGAATCTGAATTAAGGGAGAAGAGCCCTTCCCGAATCTGTGTATCACAGACAGGCCAATCATTGGCGTATAGAAGAGTAGGACGGCGCAGAGGTGGGAAACACAGGTGTTCAGGGCCCTGAGGCACTCAGCATTGGATGCAATGATCAGCACTGTTTTGAGGATCATAACATAAGAGAGGAAGATGAGCAGCGAGTCCAACCCCACCGTTAAGAGTGCAACAGACAAACCATAGATGCTGTTGACTGTGATATCCGAGCAAGCCATCTTCATGACCTCCTGGTGCAGGCAGTAGGAATGGGAGAGGACATTTGTTCGACAGTATTGGAACTGTTTCAGGAGAAAGGGGAGTGGGAATATTATTGCCACCCCTTTCAGCACAAACACCAGTCCCATCTTGTGTATTCTCTGTGGGTTTAAGATGGAAGCATATTTCAGCGGGTCATGGATCGCGATGAAGCGGTCAAAGGCCATCAACAACAGCACGGAGGATTCAGTGCACTGAAGCGAGTGGATGAAGAACAGCTGCACAAAACAGGCATTGAAGCTGATCTCCCTAGAGTTAAACAAGAATATACCCAGTGTTGTCGACATGGTGGCTATCAATAAACCAAGGTCTGTGATGGCCAACATAGAAAGGAAAATGTACATGGGCTCATGAAGGCTTGGTTCTGTTTTTATAATGAACAGGATGACTGAATTTCCTAATATCGAAATAACATATGTTAAGCAGAATGTGATAGAGATCCAGAGATGGACGTCTTCCTGACCAGGTATCCCGGTGAGAAGGAACACTGCAGAGTTGAATTTGGTGTTATTGACAGCTGACATAATGGACTGGGCAGGTCAGAGGAATTTTGAATTTTCCTTCCTGAAAGAAAAAAGAACAAGAGACTAAATTATATTTAAATAGATATCTTTCTCCTCTCAGTGCAAGTCTAGAGACTCCCAGGAGCTCAAGGAAGATAAGCAAAAACATAGTTTTGGATTTACAGCAGTAGGAAGACTGGATCAGACCAGCAGTCCATCTAGCCCAATATCCAGTGTCCAGTTCCAGATGCTTCATAGGAAGGTGGGAAAAGCCCTGCAATAGGCAGCTATGAGATAACCTGCTCCCCGGGATAGTTTCCCCCTTACACCCACTAAACTCATTTTTTGATATAAATCAAGAAGGTTTAGATCTCTTCCAAGACTTTTTAAAACCACCCTCACCACTGTAATTGTATTTTCCAGTTACCCATATAAACATACAGTCCCTCTTTGAAACCTGCTAAGCTTTTGGCCCCATTGATATTTTGTGTTTGGGAGTTCTACAGCCTACTTGAGTGCTGTGTAATTTTCAGTTGTGAATTTACCACTGACAACCTTTCACCACTTCTGAGTATGGCCCATTATATGATGATGTATTTATGAACACATGGCAAGTGCATGGTGAAAACGGTCATTGTATTTATCTGTCCATCTGTCCTGCATTGTGTATATATATATATATAAAATTTTCTCCACTCCAGAGAGTCCAAATTAAGCTACTTCCTCTTTGCAGTACATGAGAGAAATTCTTAGGGCAAGGATTTTAATTCAATAATTGTGACTTCAATTGTGTCATTCCAGATTTACATTTGTAAATTCAGTCAGAACCGGGCTATATTAACTTTCCCTTACCAAATACTGCCCTGTGATACACTCTGACCCCCAAGCATCCCTCCAACAGGTGCTGAAGTGCTTTGCCTGGCCAATTTTGACTGAATCCAGAAGGTTTGATCAGACTACAGGCTTCTCTTCTTCCTCACAGGACCTTCATCCACCCCCATGCAAGGGTCTATAGATATCTGGAACTTACAAGCTAACACAGAGGGCTAGTTCACCTGGGCGGTGGAGAAGTTGTTGTCACAAATGAGTGAATAGTGCAAACGCTAGGGTTGCACTACTATCTACTTGAGTGTGCAAGTTACTTTAGCCACGCTCGTGTCACTGTAGATAGGCATAAATTACATACAACCACTAATACACTCCCCTTTCCTGTACTTCAGCTCTGCTCTGCTGAAACAGAGGCCAGTGGTTCTGTTCTCTCATGACCTTTTGAAAAGTCTTGCACAGGTATTGCAAAGGAATTATGTTCATGACCCTCAATGTAAGTTTAAGATAAAGCTTCTGGTCAGTTACCCGGGGATGGTATGATACAACTGTTCACTGAATAAAGAGTTAATGGCACAAACCCATTGCAAACAGTATGTTCAGAACTACTTTGTAAAGCAAAAGCCATTAAGCAATAAAGCTACCACTCCTCCCTCCTGTAGAGATTCCAACAACTCTGCTTCTGGCTTTCATGC